AGAATAAATGCAGGAAGAGAACCCTGATTTGTGGTTAATTTCCCAAATGTAAGAAATGCCTCCTGTTTGAGGAAGTTCTGGGAGATTAACCCCTTTCTGGGGCTTCTTACTGCTCAAAAGAGATGGGCTTTGAGTAATCTTTGGCATCTCTGTCACCCAGGGAAAAAGGGGTGACAAATCCGTGGGAGGCAAAGCAACACTTTTTATGTTACAAATCCAGTAAATTTACAATAGAAATAATGCCACAAATATGGTAAATTTTTATTGGATAAATTAAAAATATTTAAATGGAATACATGATACATGAACTTTATCCTTTAATGGACTCTTAATTTTTTTCTTAAGGCACCACGACAGAGAAGCTTTTCCCAAAGATTATGATATAGAGGGTCCCGAGCAAGTGAAAAAACTGTGTAATTCAACATACTGGCGGCTTGGAACCGATGAACCCCCAGTAAGTAGTTGCTGTGAATTTCTTTTTTTTAAATCTGGGAATCTGTGTCGTAGTGAAAAAGTAAATGGAAAAGTAAAAGGAGGAGTGTTTTTTCAGCACCACCTCCTCATTAGCTATGTTAGTTTTTTAAGCAGGTGACTTAGCCATTGTGTGGTACAGCAACTTTACCAGTAAAATGTACCTCCTTCCTGAGGTTATGGGGGAATTAAATGAGATAAGGCAAGTACAGTGCTCAACACAGTACCTGGCACATAGCATGTGCTCAAGAAATCATTGCTGTTGCTATGATGCTGCTGTTGCTGCTGCAGCAGCATCATGCGAGATGTCTCCCTTAACCTTCACGGTAACCCTGTGAAGTAGGTGTTATTATCTCTACAAAGGAGGGGAAATAGACTCTCGAAGGTTAAGTGACTTACTCCAAGTCACACAGCTAGGGAGTGGAAGAGGGAGAGTTTGAACCCAGGTCTTTGATTTCAAGTCTTTTGTACTTGTCTTAAGGTGGTAGAGTTGTGAGTAATTAAAACATGCTATTAATATTTTCATAGTATTTGTACAACCCAGTTACAAAAGGGATATTCACTGCATAAATAATTCCTGCTTGAATTGCTGTAAGTGGGTTACTGCTTGGCGACGTGGGTGTCTGCCCAATCAGCATGAGGCAGGAGCTCAACTCCTAAAACACTCCCACATTGTGTCCTATAGTGTCAGGAGCTTTGAGGCTAGCTGAAAACTCAATTCAGCCTTAGAGGATGGCCTTGGGGTCTGATAAAACTGAGATTATGTCACATTCTGCCCCCCAAGGCTGGGCAAACGAGCTTTAGTTTCAGACCAGCTTTGAAAGAGTGCAGGCCGAAAAAGATCCATAATTCCACATTGAAATTTGTTCTAGAAGATTCTTGTTTTCCTGAGTGACAGAATAAATTGGCTTAGCATGGCAGTGTTGTTTCTGCCCTTTCTCTTATAGTCGCAATGGACAGAGAGTAATAAGAATTGCCTGAAAAATGAGGATTTATTTTAAAGTTACAGCTGCCTGGTTATGGAACCAGGAAACTTACAAGANACACACACACACACACACACACACACACACACACACACACACACACACAGAGGGAGAGAGAGAAAGTCTCTCTTGGCATCTCTGTTTCTCTCTGGTCTGTTTTCCTCTTGCCCCACAGCCCAAATCTTGGGGCAATCTGATGGTCTCCTCAGTTTCCACCTGACTCTCTTGCCCTTTGCATTGGGCTGCCTTATTAGTTATTAGCTAGCATATGGATGGAGCTCTTGAGTCTCATGCCGAACTCAAATAGTCCCCTGCTCTGCACCCCCAAACCTCACTTAACCTTGCTTTCTTGAGCATGAGGCTGTGGTCAGGGCAAGAGAGAGTTGTGCAAGACAGGCATTGCCTGGCATACACTTAGAGTATTTAGCCCTTAAAAAACATTTAGTTTTGATTCCTATATGAAAATGTTCTTGATCTCTGGGCTGTGGGAAGAAGTGAGATGAAGTGAAATATGTGGTGTAGGAACCTCAGTTATTCTTTCC